ATATAACACTATTAAAACCTTAAAGTATTAAAATAAGAGAAATAAATAATATTAATAAAATTCATATTTTGATACTATTTTTGCACTCAAACATTTAATTTTAGATTTCTATTCAGCATAACAGAGGTCAGGATGCACATGTATTTATTAAAAATTGTCATACTCTTTTTCCTGTGTTTGCAGACAGCTTCATACTTCATTTTCCCTGTGTTTTTCTGATGTCTATTTTTAATTCTTAAGCATACAGCAGATATAATTGGTACAACACAGAAAGAATCAGTATGAGATGATTGAACAGGAAGAAAAAGAAGAGTCTGAAAAACAGAAAATTATTCTATAGCATATGTTTTCTGCTGTTGCACAATGAGCCTTACAAAGTATGGGTTGAATAATATTGTGTACTCTAGCCAGCTTCTGTTAAGTCATTTTATTTTCAAAAAAGGAACAATAGAGATCTTTATAAAAAGAATCTGTTGCATTTGTTGTATTTCTGCGGATCAAGCCGACTAGGAAAAGAGGTATTTCCCTTGCCAGACTGATTCACTAAGTGGGGAGAAATTTAATAGTTAATTTATCCTCAAAAAAGCAGACAGTGTAGATGTTTATCTTTTGTCTATCTTTTGTCAGTGAGGTTATGCTCAGGCCAATAGAACGTTGGGTAGAGAAAGCTTGTTGATGAACTTCATAATAGATTCATGCAAATGCTCAGTGCTGCATAGTTCAGCCTACAGATGGTCTTACTGTAAATTCAGCCAGCTCCTTCCCATGATTTAGCTGCCATGACAACTGCACTGCTTTCTAGCGCCTTGTACAATTACATGTGAAAAAGCTGAAAAGAATTCATATTTTTAGCATTTTCCTATTGAAAGCAGCAAAAGCCTTCCTTCAATCTAGCCAATATTTATCACTGTCATGGGATAACAAATACAAACATCCCTGTTAAGCAAAGGGAATGAAGTGTTAATATACTTACTAAAGAGTAAGTGTTATTAGATAGAGTTGGACGGATTTTTTTTTTTATAAATGTCTATACCAGGGGTGTCAAACTGCCGGCCCACGGGCCGGATGTGTCATCCAGAAGCCACGCCCACCCCATTGCCAGCAATGGCAAAACCATCCCGATACATTGCGTGATGTCACATGACATCACGAGTTTGACATGTGTGGTCTATACTCTTCAGCTTGGGTCTTCACTCTATCCACTCTATCCATGTTTTTATTAAATGGTACTTTTCTCTCATAATCCCTTTCTAGAATGAAATTCAGATAGCTTTACTGGGGTAAAATAAAACACATTGCTCAAACCATCAAATATGTTTACTGTCTTTAGAAATCATTGTGGAAAAATTGTTTTTATTTTTAAGAAAACTGTTTCATCCTTCATAGAGCAATTGTTGCTGACTGTAGGCGGTGGAAAGAAAGACTGCTGTTTAGTCATAATTATTGTGGGTTAAATTATCATGGAAAAGCTATTGCTGAAATTATGACCACTGTGCAGGCTTTTCAAAAGTTCCAGTCAAATAAATATATTTTTTTAAATGTCTCTCATCATTTAGGGCTGATTTAGATGGAATAGAGGGTAATCTTTTAAATGAGAGCAGACTAAAGGAGAATGTGCTTTTCTTTTCTCCTTCATTATAAATACTCCTGAGATCATCCCAACCTTGCTTGAGTATTCAGGCTGCAGCTAAAACCTTGCTCAGTCATTAACATTTTTTTGGAGCACTCCATTTGTAAACTTGCTGGGTAGCACCATTAGAAGTTGTGTATGAGGATGTATGTTTATGGATAAGCTTTTCTCTTCCCATAAAGAGGTGATAAATGGAGAACTGATGTTGGACAAGCGGGAATGCTCATGTTGTGTACTATGAAAACAAGATTAAAAACACATCAGATTCCCTATTTAGTCAAGGCACTAAAATGGAATCAATTGCCATTATCAATAGCATTCATACAGACATTTCCCAGTTAAAATGGCAGGGTTTGTGTCAGAAGGGGGGGAAGTGTTACTTCCCATGAATGAGTCCCAATATCATAAACATGATAAGACATTTCTTATTATCTTACAAAATGTTTGTAATTTCTGTTCTGTTCAGTATGCTTCATTGTTTATTTCAGTTAGCCTATTTAAGGATTTATTTTATGTGATTTACATTATATCCTATCTTTTTGCCAGTTATGCCTTTGGCAAAATAAATGATTAAAACTATAGTTCTTGTTTTTTTAAAAAATAAAACACGCCAAGAAAATATCTTGCATACTTCTCCAGCTCCATAGACAAAACATGCCTATGCATCAAAGGTCCTGTCTACATTGTAAAAATAAATAGAAGCAGTTTTGCTTGCTGGAAGACAAAGCTTATGAGAAGCCATCAAGAATGCCTTCCCAGCAGCTTTGCTTTCAGTGAAGGAATAATCAAGAGAACAAGTCCTCTGCAAAATCATAATGTTCAATGCTCTTAAATAAAATCACATGATAAACTCATAAGTCCAGTTCTGAGTCAAATTATCTTTCACAATGAATCATAAATTTCTGGAGGCAGCTGCAAGAAAAAGTGTGATGTCAGTGTTTTGATTATCTGCAGTTACCAAACACTTCTCAAGGGCAATTCCACATACAGTTGTACAGTAGTTCATGGACAATTGTAAAAATGCTTCTAAACCAGGGTTGTCAAACTTGCAACATCACATGACGTGTCATGACATAATACGACTTTTTCCCCATTGCCGGCAATGGGGTGGGCGCAGTTTTGGCATGACACATCTGGCCCACGGGCCAGCAGTTTGACACTCCTGTTCTAAACAAATAATATCAAATGCATGCTAGGAGACAGCTAAAAATGAGTAAAAGAAATTGCCAAGAAAGCTAAGCAAATAATATATCAAACTTTGTTTTAAGTAGACATTTATTTTCTAGTGTATTCATATTGGATTATATTATATTGGATTATATTATATTTCTTTCAATCATCCTTCAAAAAGCATTTTATCCTTAAAGATATCTATATATGTGTATTCGACTATGTGTAGCCTTCATGAATGTGTCTACTTTTAAATATATATATTCTGGTACCTCTAGCACTGTCACTATTTTGTGAAAGTGAACTCTATTGGTTAGATCTGTTTTGTCATTCAGTGAATTCCCTATTATTCAGGTTTGTTTGATAATGTTTCTCACCACATAATAAAGTTTAATCATGACTTCTTCACCTTCTATATCCTTTCCATAGCTAGGTTCCTGAATGTCTTAGATTAAGACTGGGGCTAATTAATGCTAGATCTGTACAAAATTCAATCTACTGGTGGAAGAACATGCAAACTTGGCATGTATTAAAATACTTTAATGGTACCATAAGAAATTTATTTCCCAAGTTTTTGGGTCCTGAAGTGTGTGACTATAAGGACTTGGATGAAAGGAGGAAAACACCTCTTCTGGTCTTATTAGATCTCAACAGCTTTTGATACCAAAAACTATGATATGCTTCTGGACTGAGGGCTGAAGGTACCATGTTGCATGACTGGGTATCCCCATTCAGTAGTCACAGGAAAAGAAAGGTAGAGTTGAAGTTTGCTCTAGTATGTGATACCACAGAGCTTGGTCTTCTTCCCAATGTTATTTAACATCTACAGTATGTGGAACTGCTAGAATGGTCACCTGTCTGTTAAGAGTGGGATATCATTACTATCCTACATCAATTATATTTTGCCACACTGGGTTAGGGCTGAAGTGCTGTGGAGGCCCTGGCAGTCTTGGGACTGTCAGATGGATAGAGGTAATCTGACTAAGCCTAAGCAAAACAGTCTTACTATTTGTTTATAGAAATTTTGGCTTTCCTAAATAATCCCACTTTTAGCTCTAGATTGAAGTTATGGTTCCTCTGAAGAAATAGGTTTATGATTAGGAAGTACCAGTAGGGGCTCTACCTTGACTAGAAGATGCTAATGGCAGTAACTCATAACCTTTTACTGCATGGTTAGACCTGAAAAATGTGTTCTTTCTGGGAAGGTACAACTGGTGTAAGATGTATTGGACTGTTTGCAGATAGTTCCTGCCAATGTAGAATGACACTTATTTTTTTGGTCCTCTGCTGCTTCCAATCCAAATTCAAAATGCTATGCCTATAAAACCTTATACGACATGACCCTTGATTACTTTAAGCATTGTCTTATCCAAAATGAGTCTTCTCTTCCTTTTAGGTCATCCAGAGAGGGACTTTTTAGGGTGCTGTCCTCTTGAGAAGTGAGGGACCCTGGGTCTATAGAATAGACTGTGCTGGGAATGGCCCTTCAGTGCTGCTTATTAGAAGGATGTCATTCATTACCTGTTCTTGATAGTTTTTATTGATGTGATTATTTTTATGTTAAGATCACTGTTGAGATTCATGTATAGCAGTGATAATGAACCTTTTAGAGACCGAGTGCCCAAAAACTGGCCCAGCCCTCGCTCCACCCCTGCCCCGCCCCCACCCCACCTGCCCGCAGGGCCACTCACCGCCTCCAGGGCCCGCCACAGATCACCCAGGCAGCCCAGCAGTGCCATGGCGGCCATACCCTCTGCTGTGCCCCACAGCATCAACTGTGCGTGATGGGGCATGATGGCAGAGTCTTTTCTACACTGCCTGGCTGCCAGGTCCTTGGCTGCTCCGCGTGGGCCATGCTTGGGGGCTACTCTCCTCCAGGGGAGCTGCTGGGGAGGAGGGGGCCGTGGGGGGAGGCGGGGCTGGGGCAACGGCACATGTGCCCACAGAGAGGGCTCCGAGTGCCGCCTCCGGCACGCGTGCCATAGGTTCGCCACCACTGATATATAGCATCCAGAGTCATGACATTGGGTAGTAAAAAAATAAAAAAATAAAAATTGTATATATTCATTGTTTATTTGTGTTTAACTTTCAATGGTACAAGCAACAATAATTGCCTATGCAAGGCAAATAATAAATGCATAATGTGAACTCTGCATCTCAGCCTCTGATGGCCCCTTGTGACATGTTACTTTTTTTTAAGGTTACCTGTTTACAAGACTTTTTTGGTGACGATGATGTTTTTATTGCCTGTGGACCTGAAAAATACCGTTATGCTCAAGATGATTTTGTTCTGGACCATAGTGGTAAGGATACACATCTAAAATGCTTTATGAATTACAAGAATCCACTTAAGCCAACTGATCATGATATAGACAATATATTGTCCATTCTTCTAGAGTAACTAATGTAATCATACCCTGGATAAATATACAAGCATATTTATTATTTATTTATTAAACTTGTGGTATCATTGAATCGTTTAAGTTTCCAACCAATTTATAGCAAGTTGGCTGCTGATTTAATATTTAAGGCATTTAATCAGTTTCAGGTATAGATGCTTTGAATCCTAACAGACCCATTTTCTGGTAAAATACTAAGGCATACCCCCACCCCCAAATCACTAATGAGGAAATGACCAGTGTTTAAATGACTTTTATATTATAAGTATTTTGCTCGATTTATTTAATATAGAAAGCTGTTTTTCATTTTTCAGTATTACCACATTTTTAATGGTTTTATCAAGTTCTTGTCAATATATCCATAGTGTCTATGGGGAAAGGACATTACAATCGTTGTAAAGAAAATGGGATCCTGTGTAGATCCACTCTGAGGGAAATCGGCAGTTTAGAAATATGAAAAATAATTAAAATAAATTAAATAAATATCATTGGCATAATGATAAAACCAAAATGTAATGATTTGTGAAAGCTAACACTATCACTGGGTGCCTTCACTGGGTGCCTAGGTAGATGAATGTATCCATGTGGGATGCCATTTGATTGTATGAATCTGTTAATTGTAAGGGGAGATTTGAAGGATATACAGCTAGAATTTCAGAACTTGATGCCTCTGATCTTATTCTTATCAATTCACTCAGTAAATTATTTTGGTGCCAAACATGATCCTGCAGGCTTTTTATGCATATATACAGCATAGTTTTGTTAACACAGCACAAGTGAAACTCTACCTGATTGGAAAATTCCTGTAGCAATCCACCAAAACATTACAATATCCCACTCATCTCTAATACAGAATTTAAAAAAATGATTGCACACTGTACTAACAGAATAGTTAACCTGCCCACAATCATACAGGAAAACATTCTAGTCTCTTATTTTACAGCATCACTAACAAGTCAGTTTGCTCAAATGTAGATTTAAAACAACTTGGGAAAATATTTATTGCAACAGAACTACACACTGACTTGGCAACTGTATTTTGTTCATTTGGTAATAACTATTTAGGAACAATAATTTAGGAAATTCTACTATGTGGGTGATTTAAATTTTGGAAGTGATTGTGCATTGAAAATATGTATCCTACCGTCCATCTGTGTTGTTTGTAGAATGCCGTGTTATGAAATCATCTTATTCCCGTGCATCTGGAACAACAAGGTATTCTGGATCTAAAAGTCCTGGGCCTTCACGTCGAAGCAAGTCTCCAGCTTCAGGTAATTGAAAACAGAACTGCTCTTTAGATTACAGTGTTTCTCAACCTTGACAATTTTAAGGCATGTGGACTTCAACTCCCAGAATTCCACAGCCAGCAATGCTGGCTGTGGAATTCTGGGAGTTGAAGTCCACATGCCTTAAAATTGTCAAGGTTGAGAAACACTGCGTTTAGAACTTCATTTTTTTCCTACATGGCTCAACCCCTTTGGTAGAATCGAGCAATCAGAAATTAGAGACTAAACATTTAAACTTACAAAAATTGCCAGTACAATAAGTAAAATGATATACAAAATAAGGAATAAATGCCTCTAAAACCATATAAAAAACATGTAATGTGCTGCAACAAATAATAAAGCTTAACTCATTTTTAAACGTTCAGTAACATTTCAACATCTCTAAGGAGGCAATTCCATAGAGGGAGCATAGAAAATTGATCATTGCCTTTTTCGCTAACAACAAGGAACATGTGAAGGCATTTAAGAACCAAATGCTTTACCAAGTTCCCACAAAGCAACTTACAACCTTTAAACCACTATAAATCTGAGCAAGGGATGTGCCAAATATTACATGCATAGATTGTTCCATGCATGGAACAACTGTTTCATGTGGCCAATGCCTGACCCCAAACATGCTTTTTTGAAGTATTTTGATACATAGAGGGACAAAATGGGGTGGGAGACCAGGGAAAGAGCCAGGGACATGGGTAACTGAGAAGAGTGGGAAATAGCTGAAAGTTTCATGGTGGGTGGTTTGGTAGGCTATGCTGTGGTAGTGCGTGATAATGGTTGGTTTTTGTATTCCTTGTTTTTAAATGTTTTTAACAATTGGTAAACCCTTCAGAATTGCTGAGATTTGGACAGCATATAAATTTAATTTAATTTATGGTTGGTTGCAGTCAGCCGGATATTTAAACTGATTTGGCATTTTTAACTGCCTACTGAGTCCTTTCCCAAGGACCTGGTGTCAGCAAATGTTGTCGTTTCATAGTGTAAAGATATTATTGCAGGATAAAAACAAGTACAAGTAGACTGACTTATGACCAGAATTGAATTTGGAATTTGCTTATAAGTCATTGTGGTTAGAAGCTGAGTTATCATACAACCAGACACAATTTTAAGGCCATTTTTACAAGTAATTAACTGCAGTTTTTAGGCCAATCACATGGTTGTTAAATGATCGTAAGTCCAAATCCAACTTATCCAATGGCCTTTTTTTTTTTGCCAAAAAATAGCAAAAACTTTGTAAAACACAATCATGTAATTGTGGGACATTGCAACTAACAGTGTTCTAATATCTAAGGGGCTCCCACAAAGAAGAGGGGGTCAACCTACTCTCCAAAGCACCTGAAGGCAGGACAAGGAGCAATGGATGGAAACCAATCAAGGAGAGAGCCAACCTAGAATTAAGGAGAAATTTATAATTAATTGGTGGAATGAGTTGCCTCCAGAAGTTATGGGTGCTCCAATACTGGAGATTTTTAAGAAGAAGCAGGGTTTCCTGCTTGAGCAGCGGTTGGACCAGAAGACCTCCAAGGTCCCTTCCAACTCTGTTTTTCTGTTGTTTTATAAATGTGAGCTGGTTGCCAAGAGGCCAAAATTTTGTGGTCAAAATGTGACCATAAAGGTGGTATGGGAGTCATAATTTCAAGGATGGGTCAGAACTTTTTTTGAGTCCATCATAACTTTGAAAGGTCCTTAAGCAATCAGTTGTAAGTTGAAGTCTACCTGAAAGCTGCCTTTTGCAACTGATTGATGGTGATTTTGTCAATGCTGATGATGTTTAAGTAGTGCTCCAGATGTTTTGGAATTGCACACAGGTCACCTATTATCATTGGTACTATCTTTGCTTTGTTTTGCCAGAGTCATTCTACTTCTATCTGCAGGTCTTTTTGTGATTTTCTGCAGTTATTATTATTATTCATCTGTACTTGGTACCAGTCATTGATACAGTAGAAGTTTTGACTTGAGGCCTGGAGAATGTGGATAGAAGAAACATAGGCAGAGGGAGGCCATAATTAGAGTGAGCCTTTCTCTTCCGGTGCGCAACATGGCGGACCTACCTGGGGTGGCTCCGTGACGGAGCGGAGCCCTAAACAGAAAATGGGGGGCCTCCCGCAGGCCGAGGGCTCTCCTGTGATCCAATTTGGAGAGCTGAACTCGCCAGCAGTTTAGTCTGGCGAGGATATTGAGGGGGCGAAGGGTCGGTGCTCGGCGGAACCCGGCGGAGCCTGGCGGAGCCTGGCGAAGCCAGGCGGAAGATCTGGCCGGACTCGGCCTGGATCCGGCCCGATGGAAAACCTGGCCTGGATTTGGTCGCGGCCTCGATAACAGCGGAGGCCGCGACGGATTTGGATTTGGAGGACGCGGATTTGGGAGCTGGAGGCCGCGGCAGCTGTGCAGGCTGCGGCAGCTATGGAGGCCGCGACGGAGGCCGCGATGGAGGCGACAGATGCATCCGGACCCGGACTCGGCTGCGACGGCCAGGGAGGCCGCGACGGAAGCAGATCTGGCTGGCCGCAGTCCGGCGGCCTGGCGGCCCGGCGGCCCGGCGGCCCGGCGGAGCATCTGGCCTACGGACTCGGCCTACAGACTCGGCGGTGGACTCGGCGAGGGTAGGGGCCGGGGTCCGGCGGTTTGGTGGTCCGGTGGAGGATCCGGCCCAAAGAGCCCGGCCGTGGACCTAACTTTAGCGGCCGGTCGTCTGGCTTATCCCAAGTCTTGAAAAGGGAACTAACCATCAAGAGGACTTCCTCCCCCGTGTGTTTTCTGTTTGTTGGGACCTTGTACTCATGTTCGGAGCATACTCCAGGTCGGAACTGCTGGCCCTGCGTGATTCCCCCCTCGCGCAGGTACGGCCCAGTATAATCTTGAGGGCCGTCCTCAATGACGGGGTATGGAACCCCCAGAGGCGCGCAGCAAAAAAAGAACTGAAGAGGAGGAAATTGAGAACTTTTTTAGTGGGATGTTTTAACAAATTTTTAGGGGGTACGGGGAGGGCCGGGGGGGCATGGGGGATGCCTCTCTGGGGCC